GTAGTTTCTACTTCTACTCACAGTTCGCAAAAGGGCCACCCGGTTCTTCCGTACGTGGTACAGCCCGCAGATTTCTACGTGGTGCAGCCCGCATTAGATGGTCAGCGCTCTGCGTGCTATTATCTACACGGCTGGCTGCAGTGACACCTCCGGGTGCAAGTGTGTACCACGCTCAGACCCCCAACATGTGCGCGCCTCGAGGAGTGAATGAGGCATTCATAGCGAAATCGTACTCGCGCGCCCTCAACAGGGAGTGCTACTAGCTTGTCTGGTTTGCCCCACGCCTGACTGGCCGGCCAGCCGACCAAACCTACGCACCCACCTACCCTCTGCAACCGTGTGATCCGAGCAGGACGGGTCTTCGTGTCGAGGGGCCGCGCTGGCCATCATTGCCAACGACACTCTCGTACCAGCTTCTGCGGTGGTGGCGGGGGCTGCGTTGCCAAAGCGCCAACAAAGCTTCGTCGGGAACGACAACATCGCGGCTGTGAGACAGGCTGGCAGCATCCAGCTGGAGAGAGGCGCGTTTGACAGGAACAACCCCCAGCCCTGGATATCGACCGATCGAACCGGAGGGATCGAAACTAGCATGTCTTTCGAGGGGAACCTTGATCCCAAACAGCGCCGTTCTACGGTGGCCCACCAAGCAGTCACCTCTGCCGGTAGGGAAGATAGCACTAGAGTCGACTGGTGGTAGGTCTTTCTTGGCCTGTTTTTACAATCGCTTTGGCTTCGATCTGGGTTGATTGGAGTATTTTGTTGTTTCCTGGCACCGAAATTACCACCCCCACTACCCCCCGGTGTTTGCCACCGGGATTGGGTTTTCGTCGCTTGGCAACGACGTTGTAAAACAAGCCAATTCGTGAACTCGGCAACCAGTTCAACCTTTTTTTTTTTCCTCTGTTTATTTTTGGCGGTAACCATGAATAGTGGTCGAGTAGATCATGTTGTGCGGGGTGGAGAATCCTCACTCCGCGCAAGGGGGTCGCACCACGTTGTGTTAAAATGGTCACGCATCCTCGAGGCAGTTACACAGTGCTTATAATCGTCTCTGGAAGTGAAAGCACCAGAAAATCAATTAAGTCATACGCAGCTGTCATCCGTACGCAAGGAAGTAAGCACAAGATGCCGAACACCCTTAGCAGGATGCAGCGCACCCTTCATGCGACTCGCCGAATATCTCACGGCGCTTCGCGCTTGGTGATGTGAGAGCCTGGTCCGGTGAGAACCCGGCGTGCTCCGTCCCGGCTTTGTAGGGATGCGAGGTCAATGGTCTAACGACTACGGCATGGACGACTATGAGTACACCCCCACTACGGGTGGCTTTGTGCTTCCTCCTGGCAGAGAAATCTCTTGCGGTGACTTCGTTTTGTACCTCATCCCGAGACAATTGAAGACCCGACCTGTGCGCGCCATCGAATATTATCGTGTGTTTCCTCTGAACGGGCTGTCTCCTTGACATTTTTTCTTTTCCGCTGAGTGTGAAAAGAGGGAATCGTCCTCGACAGACATTGGGGAGATTGTACCAAGGTAGTCTCCACGCAAGATCATACCTCTCTTCTGCAGAACTTCCCCCTCCCCCGTAGCTCTGAAGATACGACATCTCTGACGAGGATCCCTGCTTGCTTTCTGCCCCCAGTCCCCCGCGATCTCTCGACGTGACTGGAAAGAAGGAGGACATATCTTTCGCTTTTCACTCGTCCCCAGGCGGTCAGCACCCGCACCTATCTACATCGATTTCTACCATTACACTCGTGCTCACACCGTATGTCGTGGACGGATGCGCACGTGTAGCCGCACTACACCATTGTCATGTTTCTACCTCCCAGGAATGACGGTTGCTATGTTTGTCGTGTTGCAGCCCTCAAGCCCCACATGTTCCGGTTTTCAGTTTTCGACGAGCTAGGTTACTCATTAGACCGGGCAGTGGTTTGGTGACGTTTCTTGTTCTGCTGACAGGGCGAGGCATCAACCAGACGTTGGAACCATCGGAGGTCCACCAGAGAGTGCTCACGGCCCGGCGCTTCACCGCTGGATTTCTTCCGTCCATACCGGAGCACCGTGTCGCTGGGCGTCGGCTTGCAGTCAAGCAGGTTGGTTCAGTGGACATGTCGCGTCGAATCGCCGTATGAGTTGATCCCACGGGGCGCTAACCTCTCCAAGTTCTCTTGTTTTTCTGGCGAAAGGGGTGGAATGGGTGGGTCATGTGGGAGATATCTGGGTGGAAATATTGTCAGCAGCCCCCAGAGATCCAACAGGGTCCTCAGGATCACGGTTCCCACGTCCCCCCTCCACGACCGTGCGCGCGCAGGCGACGGGCGGGGGCGAGGACCGTGGAGACGGTAAATGTGGAAACGAAAGCATTGGCGGTGGCCGTGGGACACAAAACGGAAACGATGTGCCGAGGGGGCGGTGGAACCAAGAGGAGAACGCAACATTTTTCGCGAAAGGAGGACGGGCAACGCAGGGGCTGGAAAATATGTTGGCGTGCCCCCGCCGAGGAGGGAAAGTGGTTGACGTCCCGCAAGCGCTTCTTGGGTTAGTACCATACATGCGACGGTGCCGTCGCCACACTGCAATATTCGGATGCTTCTCTGTTTTCACATCACGCAAATGTTTCAATACCATCGGTCGGGTTCCATGCGCTCTTGGTACTCTGCGTTGTGGTGTTGCCTTCATCTTTGGTCATAGATTACCTTGCCGCGGTCAACGCATCAGTTTGGTCGTACACACTCCGCCGCATTTCATCCCCTCCTCGCAAGTAGCAGCCCACCGTACTGTGTGTACTTGGAATCTCTCCTGCTGTCGTCCGACGCGGTCATTGGGCAGTTGTGGAAGACTCGCCTTTGAAGAAATCAAATGGTCGCTCTGCGCTCTTTTCTCACGCCCTACCACGCACGGCCTTAGCATATGATGTTGACGACACACACACTCCCTGGTATTTTCAAATGCATGCAACGTGTGTTTCTTTCAATTGTCGACGGATGATTGTCAATATTCCACGAGTCCAGCTTACCCGAACTGGCTCGCTAGCAACCTTGGTTCCAACACCATTTACTTCTCGATCCTTGCCTCTTTTTCACAGAGAAGCGACTAGCACTGGCGTAGATCCGTCGCACCCCCCAGGCGCCGCTGTAGACGGAGTGCTTGCGTCCTTCTGGCTTTCCACCGGGCTATTCCCACAGACTCTGACGATTCGACTACGGAGACCGGTGGCGGTGTACGAGGTATTTCGCGGACGGGTCATACTCCGCACTTGTATGAAAATAGCCAAAGGTGTTGCTCGAATTTTGCTGCCTTTGAGAGGCACAAGGCGGACCCAACAGGGAGGGAGGAAGCGTCAGGCACGTATAACTGCAGGACGGCGATCGCGTATTGATGTACGGAACTACGCTGGCACTAACGTAGCGCTTGGACTGTACACAGGTGATGGTTGCATGTGAAGGAGTGGACGCGGCTCTCGTGCAGCTTGGTCAAATTAACTGCAGCACAAGACAAAGGTGCAGCAGCAGCGGAAGCGGTAGCAGTGGAAGCGGCAGAGCGGAGGGCAGCGGTGGCGATGATCAAGGCACCAGATCATTGAGAGGAGACCGAGGGAAAGAAAGCAAGTTGTTGGAGCTAGTCAGAGAGCAGCGAAGGTGAATCGTTTGGGCGAGCGAAGCAAAAGAGTAGGAGACCTGGCAGACGAGTCGGCAGGTTGTAGGCAAAGGACGACCGCTTCGAGTACCAACACCATGAACAACCCCGAACAACTCGTTGTTCCTTGAAAACAGACAATGCCGCAACATAACGAAGCACCACACAAAACTCGTTTCATAAGACGCCACTGCCTTCGTTTTCCCGATCACGTGAACCGAGCGCCCCGTCCCAGTCCTATTCCCCGCCTACAAGCATTACCCCCCATTCGTTTTGCAACTCCTTCGTCACATGCCATTGGTGCCTCTCCTCGGCCTTCCCGGCTTTGATGCAGGCCCTCCGTCGCCGGCGGCGGCAACGATGCAACGTCTGCTTGTGACGCAGGAGGCAGCAGCAGTAGCTTCCATGGTACAGGCAGCATGTCTCTCAATAGTGATTCCTCCGTGCCCCTCGCGAGACTGGTCTTCCGTGTTCCGGGTGGGGAGCAAAAGGCAGAAACGGTTGTGACCCAACTGTCTTTTGTCGTGACGAGCGCGCACTCACCGTTTTGCCTTGTGACTGATGTCGTCATTCGCGGGCGGTTTAACGAGGAAGGTGCAGAGGAGGCGGAATACCGATATAGAAGATGCCGTCGATAGCGAAGGAGAAAAGGACGGGGAGGAAATGAACCTGGGACGATAGCAGTAACCTCTACATGTTTCTTAACCTTCTATGTTTTGGCCTCATCAGTCGAACCTATTTCGTTGATTGGAGAGGTCGGTGTTGTGAGCTCAATATTTACCTATCCTATGCATTGGTGATGTTCCTTTTGAATTTTTCGAATCAATTTTAGTAGGTATCGTTTGGAGGAGGACCCTGACGACACCACCGACTAACTTTTTTTTGCGGTGACCCCAAATATGTTGGGGGGGGGGGAAGAAGGGGGGGAATGCATCCGGCAATTGACTGTGTGCAAGAATCCAGGTGTCTATGTGTCAGTTAACCTTGTAGACTGTTTCTTTTAAGTACTTTACAGAACTAGCTTTGGGCTTGTTGAACGAAGTGTAGGGAACGGTCTTGCGCTTTTGGCTACTGTGCCGTGCAAATGTCAGGGAGCGACGAATGTGTTTGGTGGAGAGCTGATGGCGTGAGGGCGGGAGGCAAGGGGAAAATATGTATGGCTGGCGTTGTTTTTTTCGGCGCAATGGAACCGAAATCCCTTCCAAGGAGCTCCAGAACAAAAATTCTGGACGCCTTTCATACCGCATGAAGTCACAACTGCCTACGATTTTTTGTTGTCGCCATACCATTTTTCAACCGCCGCTCGCAGTTTCTACCTACCATTCATCCTAGCTCCGAGCCAGGGTCACACAGAATAGGATCCTCTGCGTTGCATGCCTCAAAGTTGGATCATGAGCAAGGTTTAGCCGCCCTCTCGTCAAGACGAACAATCGCTATCTGCTACGTGCAAGGTGCCTCGCTGGAATTTCTAACTGCACCCAAGCCGCCACGTGTTGCCGGGGCGATCGGTTTAGACTTGACCACCTAGAGAGGTTGCGGTACGCGCTGCACTGCCAGGAAGACACGGTGGAAAGCGACCGGGTCAGAAGCTTCGTCCACAGGGCGACAAGTTCGTCACCTACCCGCACGATACGCATCAAGGCCGAGAAACACAAGCAACAACAGCAAAACTACAGAACGAAAGCAGCGTACTCTTTCGGGACAAACACACTATTCCCTTCGGTGCACGACAATTACGCACGCCGTCTCGAGAAAAGGCCGCCAACAAACCAAAGGCCAACAGCTTGGTCGCTACTTTACTATCCTATCTACAACGCAGACATAGATTTACTCTCCGGGAATTTATCGTCGAGAGCGCCTAGCTTTTCATCTGTTCTACACTGCTAGATAAAAAACAATGTTACACACCAACCCCCGACCTCGTGGCAGCGAAATCCTCATGTACCCAAGAACAGCGAAGCCTACGAAAATTCACGTCCCAATCTAGTGTGGTTTGCGCCCAACATTTGTATGGACTAACTCCTTTTTTCATGTTTCAATTTCTTGGTCTTGATGGCGTTGGTCGTGGTCGTAGCCGTCGCGACGTGGCTGCCACCGGCACCTTCGGTAACGTGGCACACCCCCACGAGGGCGCGACCCCGGTCCAAGATGCGCAGCCAAGCCATCTGGCGGTCGGACAATCGGTCGCTGGGGCCCTTTACCTACGCAGCGACGCGGCACATAGGAGCGATTTCCGAGTCATAAAATTGGTTTTGAATGTTGACGGTGGAGCGCACTCAGCAAGCATAGAAAGAGTGTGCGCGAGAGAGCAGATTACATGGGTGCGAGAGAATTCCATACGGCGTAAGGCAAGCACCTCTTGTGCTAAGAGGCGTAAATGACGAGAGGAATGCATGCGTGGTGAGCGGTGTCGTCTACCAATCGAAGCATCTAGACAACAACCACACCGAGAGTGCACAATCGACGTACTTCCAGCAACCAAGTCTCCAGCCGTAAGCCTGCCATGTCAGCTGCCTTGAACGGCGGTGGGGACGGTCTTTTGGGAACTCCTTTGTCTCTCTTTCCACTGCCTCTGTCGGTAGGAGGCGGCGGCGGCCGTTCATTTCCTCCGTCAACATCGAACGCAACCTCCGAGTCGATCCCGAGCCAGGAAACAAACGCCGCCGGCTACCGTGTCGTTGCCGCGTGGTCAGGTAGTGGAGCCAGAAAGTCAGGCGCGCGGCAGACGGGCGCGTGAACCCGTATGTAACATGGGGCCACCAGCAGCACGCACAAGCAAGCCAAGCGATCGAGCAAGCAAGCAAGGCACTCCAGTCAATTTGTCATGTTCACGAGGTGGGTGGGTTGGTCGACGGTGTAGCGGCAAAACGGCAGGCACGAGGAGTCGTGAAGGCGGATCATTTCTTGAAGGACACAGGCGGTTGGGCGAGAGACGTGGCGTGCTGCACGCCAGAAAGCAGGCAAGGGAAGGGGTTGATACGCAAAAGCTGGACCGCAGTGCCGAAAAACTTTGGTGGCCTCCCGGGTTCGATCTATGTTGTCGTCGGGTCGGGGCTGTGCAAACGGGGAATTCCGGCAGCAGCAGTCCACATGGCCCTTCTCTCTGCCTCCGCGGTGGGCGATGGTTCGTGGCGGCATATTTATCAGCCGCGGACTGCCTCGTCGAATATTGCGAGGTGGCCGCGAGAGAAATAGCACGGGGAAGATCTTCGCGCTCACCAACCGTAGTGGCAACTTGAGACGCGACAACACAAAGCACACAACAAGGCAGCATGACCGTTAGCGTGTGTACCTCACTGAAACGAACCTCTACCCCGGAGAAACGCACCGTCGACACTTCCGACACGACTTCAAAAGCAGGGGGTTCCGCCTCCGCCGCCGCCTTTCCCTCCGCGATTTTGCCATCTCGGCCTTCGCCCGTAGCGGCTACAACGGCGGCGTTCGTGTCCGTCCGCACCGCTCGCATCAAAAGCAGGTCCGGCAAACCGCCCCCGAAGTGCTTGTGGTTCAGGCAAAGGGCGGCTGAAATTGAGGCCATCGCAGGCCCCCCGAGCCCCGCCGCTATCGCCTAAGGAGGTGGGAACAAACAACGGAAACCGCAACGAAACACGGCGTGGGGTGCATTACGCGAGAGAGGTGATAATAAGAGAGGACAACCAAACAAGAAACCACGCCTTCTGCGACAGCACGAACGCTCACTACAGGCTCCGGTAGCAGAGCGAAGAACGCTGTGCCAAGCCCGGCCGCGTGATCGAAAAATGCCGCGATCCAGCAGCACCTGAAGGTGACGCACGGACGACTTGTCCCAGTTAAGGCCACGGCACACCGTGCCGGCGTTGGCTAGCCAGGCGTCTCCCACCAGAGCGACCAACTCGGCAGCAGAAGCGGCCCGGAGTTCTGCCAGGCGTGCGTCCACGGCTGTCCGCCGGTTGAGGTAGAAGAGAGGGCAGAAGTCCAGGTCGAGGGGGGCGTCTTGGAAAGGCGTCTGTTTGCACGCGCGGACGGGAAGGCGGGTGGGCGGTGCCGTAGGAATGACAAGGATAGAGAAGGCCGCCGTGACAGCAGGGCGGTGGTGGGGCGGAATGGGCACGGGAAAAGACGAGCAAAAAGGCGTTGTGGTCTGTACAGTGCATTTTTTGAAGCTTCAGGCAATCGGTCACTGCTCGAAACTCAATCCTTGGCATCTGGCTAGGCATCAACAACAGCAAACGGATGAGGGGGGGAAGAGGGCGTGCGCCACCGCATCACCCTTACCCCCCTTTGTGTAGCGCCACCAAGGCGCAAAAGTCCTCTCGGTGGTGACCAACCAACGTGCGGGCTAAGCATGTTCGACGCGAGCGCAGAGATTGGAAAACAAACCGACGCTCGCTGACGCCTTCACTGTTGCGACATTCTCAACCACAGCACAAGGTTTTTTTCCGCGAGATGCTACCTGGAAGACGTCGGCAACGCCCGGACTGAAAATCACGTCCCACATCAACAGCGCCCACAGCGCACGCAGCGGCGACCCCTCGCAGTGCCAGCCCGCCCAGCTCCCTTCCTCCCGCTGCGACAGGTGCTGTAGCACCAGGCTCTCCACCGTGCACGCCGCGCCATCGCCATATCCCACAAACCGGCTCTTCACTCCGATCTGTTGTGCAGAAAGGGGAACATTTGTACCCGGAAATGCATACAAGACAGCCCACGGATTCGGGAGGTGGGGCGGGGCGGTCGTTGGTTGGACGGGGAAATAAAGGGGGGCATAAACAGATATGAGAACCAGTGGGAGGCGCATGCTGTGCTCTGGTGTTGCTGTAACTTGTGCAACACAGCAGTGCGACATGCAAGGGGGAGGAAGTGCTAACTATTCCGGCGCAACACGTGAGGCGGCGGGTGAGGGTTCAATCGTGAGCGCGCGATGAATGCCGACGATGCTACCACGGCAGATGCGGCACGGTGGAATACCGCGCCGACCAGCACAGAGACAAACCCGGTCCGCACCTCCCGGTTAAGCCGCCTCCCCGTAATGCTGATCTCCGGGACGCCCACTCGCCCGTCGTTTTCTGTCCCGTCCACGATAATATTTGTCACCTCCGAAGCTGCCGTCGCCGCTAAAACCACTCCCGAAATGCTCTCATCGTCAAAGAGGTTCGGCACCTGCGACAGCTCAGCTACGCCTTCGCATCTGAGGGTACGCGCCACTGCTGCTTCTGCTGCAGGATCAGTTGTTGTCTCCGGTGCGGCCTCTGGATCCGCCTTCTTCGCAACGCGTCCTCCACCACCGCCGGTACCACCACTGCCGCCGACGGTTGCCTGAGAACCACCGCCGCCGCTGTTTTTGTGTTGTTCGAACACGTCGCCACTCTCGCCATTGCTCGACCTTGTGGAAGGATCCGCCTTCACTGGCGCGGTTTCCTTTTCCGTGTGCTTACAGCTGCTGCTGACATTGCCGCCGCTGCTGCCACTGCCACTGCCACTGCCACTGCCAAGAGCTGGGCGCTGCTGCTGTTTTCGTCGCCGCTGTCGCTCCTTCTTCTTCTTCTGGGCTCGGACCCGCGCTTGCTCGACGGCTGGATCCTCAAATACGTCATCCTGGTCGTCATCGCTGCTAACACCACCGTCATTGCCACCGCTGCAATCGCCACCGGATCTGTACCCGATCACTCGTTCTGCAGGAGTTTGTCGTTTGGGTGACTTCAAAGACAACAGGTTCGGGGCCAGGAGCGCGGGAGGGGGCAGCTGGAAAGTCTTTGAACTGGTGGACACCTTCTCGTTGAAGGCTCTTTTAGAAGTGACATGAAACCGGACAAAGACAGACAGAGAG